GGGCTCCCTGCTCAGTGGAGAGCCTGCTTCTCCCTCTCCCTCTGCCTGCCTCTCTGCCTACTTGTGCTTTCTCTCTCTCTCTGTCAAATAAATAAATAAAATCTTAAAAAAAAAAAAATCTGGTTTTGAACTAAAAAGAATTTTTTTTAATTAAAAAAAAAAAAGAATTGGGTAGATCCCTCCATCCTCATCTTTCCCCAAATGATAGTAACTGTGCTTTTGTCATCTTTGAGACCACATGTAATGACAAAACATACTATGAATTTATGTCCATCTTCTTTAGATATGTGCTATATATGTATAAATATAACAGAGTATTCCTCAGCCATAAAAAAGAATAAGATCTTGCCATTTGGGACAACATGGATGGACCTCGAAGGTATCATGCTAAGTGAAGTAAGTCATAGAGAAAAATACTATATAATTTCCCTCATATGTGGAATCTAAAACACAAAACAAACTAAAAACTCAGACTCTTAAAAACAGAACAAACAAGTGGTTGGCAAAGAGGAGGTGGGTGGGGGGATGGGTGAAACACATAAAGGGGAGTAAGAGGTACAAACTTACAGTTTTATAAAATAAGTCAAGAGACGAAAATTATATGAATTTAGAGACCCTTTTTAAAGTGCGTATTTTTACTAATCTAATAGCAACTACATACATTTTCAAGTTAGTAGTATGTACATATGAGACAATTACTGAGTTGAATCTTTTCAGTTAAAGTATGTTTTTTTAAAAAATGTTGGTTGCAGGGGCGCCTGGGTGGCTCAGATGGTTAAGCGTCTGCCTTCAGCTCGGGTCATGATCTCCAGGTCCTGGGATGGAGTCCCACGTTGGGAATCCCTGCTCCCAGGGAGTCTGCTTCTCCCTCTCCCTCTGCCTCTCCTCCTGCTCATGTTCTCTCTGTATCTCTCTGATTCAAGCGAATAAATAAAAATCTTTTAAAAAGCCTTTCCGATCCGCCATCTGCGGTGGAACCGCCGCCAAAATGCAGATTTTCGTGAAAACCCTTACGGGGAAGACCATCACCCTCGAGGTTGAACCCTCGGATACAATAGAAAATGTAAAGGCCAAGATTCAGGATAAGGAAGGAATTCCTCCTGATCAGCAGAGACTGATCTTTGCTGGCAAGTAACTGGAAGATGGACGCACTTTGTCTGACTACAACATTCAAAAGGAGTCTACTCTTCATCTTGTGTTGAGACTTCGTGGTGGTGCTAAGAAAAGGAAGAAGAAGTCATATACCACTCCCAAGAAGAATAAGCATAAGAGAAAGAAGGTTAAACTGGCCGTCCTGAAATACTATAAGGTGGATGAGAATGGCAAAATCAGTCGCCTTCG